GCTAAATAGTTGTTTTGTGCACAAAAAAAATCCGCCCTTTACTGTCACTGAACAGGTAAAACATGGTGATGCAAATACAATATCGCATTATTGGCTGAATGGAACCAATCCAGCCCCCAAACATACAATAAAACAAAAACAAATCATTAAGGTTATCATTGAAAAATGTTGGCGAGGAAAAAAACAAAACGGAGATAGATAGGACTTTGTATAAGGATTTTTAAGTTCTAACATTTTAATTATGTTGTGTAATTGGGGGTAACTGTTTTTGTAACACTGTTTTTTTTTTGTTTTTTTAAGAAAAAAAAATTTAACGCTGCTGCCCGGACTCAAACAAGAAAATTGATTCGAATAAATTAGTAAAACTTTTAAGAGATCAACATAACGCATTGTTAATAGATAGGGAGAGAGAGACAAGGGGCAGTTGGTGAATATGAAAAAGTCTGACTGATATCTTTGTATCTGTCCTTCCACATTGGAAACACTGTGTAAATAATATTTAACTAGAACGAAAATTTTTGTTGGGAATATAAGACCAAAAATCCCCATTACATATTAGGAATAAGCCTCATACTGCTACTGGTAATCCTTACACTATTCCCACAAGCACCGCTACTTCTACTACATCGACATCTGCTTCATCTTCTGCTTCATCCTCGACTTCATCGTCAAGAAAAAATACTGTTAATGGTGGTGTAACGACAACAACATCTAATGAAATTCCTATTCTTCAACAACCAATAACTTCTTCCAACACCACTACCAACACTTCATCATCTTCCCAATCTCAGCAAGAACAACAACAAAAATCACTGCAACAACATCAACAATTGCAACAACAACAGTTACAGCAGCAACATCATCAACAATTACAACAACAACAAATACAACAAGAAATTCATCGTCAATCGATCGTTGCTGCTCATCATCATCATCACCATCATCAACTTATACAACCTCAAACCATTGTTCCTACTGCAACCATGGTAAATCATAGCAACAACAATAATGAAGCTCCAATTAGGTGTGTTAATTGTGCTCAAACTCAAACTCCTTTATGGAGAAAGAATGAAAAAGGTCAACCTATTTGTAATGCTTGTGGTTTATATGCTAAATTACATAATAGAGATCGTCCTGTTGCCATGAGAAAGGCAAAGATTCAACGTCGTAGAAGAGACTGGGGTGCCAATAACGGAAATCCTAACGGAGGAAGTGGCGGTGGTGTCAATAGTAGTAGTAGTCTTGACGGTTCAGGTTCTGACGGTTCTTGCGACTCAAACCCACAAAGTCCAATCTCTCCTCATCAACAACAACATCATCACGCTCTCACCATTCAAACCTACTTATCTGCAGCCGCTGCTGTTCATCAACGTCCATTAATGCCTATGATGATCAATCCTACTATATCTCCACTTTCGGCGACTAATCCTAATGCATCTTTAACTAATGTTACCTCTCCAATAACAATGGTCCCAGCCACTTCTCTTCATCATCAACAAGCTTATCCTTTTGCTGCTCCACAATTTGATTTTGATGACTCTAGATTTAGAGCTTTGGTTGATAAAATGCCTAAAAAACAAGCTGAAGCTTTTCTTACTGTATTGGAAAGACGATGCGGGATTTTGAAACAAATGTTAGAGCCTGATCAACAAGATATTAATAACAATAACAATGCTACTACTAGTAGTAATAATGGTAATAATATCAGTATGAGTGGTCTGAATGATAATAATAATAATAGCGTTGAAAATGAAAATAATGATTGTTAGGGAAATTATTATTATTTTTTTTTTTTTTTTAAAAAAAATAAATTAAATGAATTTTATATTATTAAAATAATAACTAATAATAAAATGTATATTTTTTTACATTTAAATTTTTTTATTGGATTTTTACAATTTACAAAACATTTTTCTTCAAATTTTCACATTAATTCATTAATTCACACTTTTTTAAAAACAAATTTTATTATTATTAGATCATATAGGAGGTGATAGAGAGAGTGATGATGAAAAAAATGGTGTAAATATATAAATCCGTTTTTTTTAAAAATTAATTAATTAATTAGTTTGTAAATACCTCAAAATCTATCTTATTATTTTTCTTTCCTTCACTTTCTCATTTTCTTTCTCTCTTCTTTTAAATATTTTTGCATTTTTTTATTATTACCTTCAATAAAAAATAAATAAATTATTATTATGTTCTTTTCATCTCATTTTTGCATGTAGTTAGTTATTATTTAATTTAATAAAAAAAATTAAATTTTGGTAATTTCCATGTGATTTTTGATATGCACAGATATTTCCATTGACTAAAATTCTCCAGGTCTTTTTTTTTTTTTGGAAATCTTTTCACAATAAAAAAATTTTTTTTTACACTAGACCAAACAATAAATAGCTAATAAAAGAACAACCAACTTTACTTGAAAACCATATATACATGCATTTTTATTCTAATTTAACACAAGATCAGCAGAGATTTCCCCTTCCTCTTTTTTTAATTACTAATAAATACTAATACTAAAATACTTAAAAAAAAAAAAAAAAAAAAAAAAAATATTGTGTAAACATACATACAGGAAGAATTCATGTCCAATGATTATACATATAGCTACCACCAATACATTAAAATAATAAATTATGGGAATTATTTTGTGAAGAATCTGACACAGGATTTAATGATAAACGATCCAATGAAGATTTTTAATTGATACATGGGGCTTCAAAAAAATTTTGTTAGAGATCATGTGACACAATAGACCTGCAATATTATTAACAATAATTGCATAATAAAATTTTTTTTTGACAAGTCGTTCAACAATAACTTTGTCTTAACCTTAACTTTAACAGGATCGGGAAAACTCTACCACCAAATTATCAAGCACCTGGTCACATTAACGATTCAAGGGATAATTGATTGGTTGGAGAAAGCTTATTAGGGGACGTTACCAAAAATGTTATTATTATGCATATGCGTGGTAATACCGGACCCATTGTGCGTTAACTCGCAAATCAGGAGATGTTTGGGCGAAATCGTTATACGACATATTGATATAAATAATAAACATTGAATTAATATTAAATTTTATATGAAATAAATGATAAGAAATGAACAAAAAAGTCGCCATTCGAGGGATTTTAAAAAATTCACTTGTTGATAAAGCGATGACTTTTTCATTTTCTATTAGTGCAATCTAATGATGAGGCGGCTAGCCATCTTTTTAAAGTACTTTTTAATCATAGCGTTGGCTTTAATTCTACGATTTGGGGATTTTTGGTCTTATATTCCCAACAAAAATTTTCGTTCTAGTTAAATATTATTTACACAGTGTTTCCAATGTGGAAGGACAGATACAAAGATATCAGTCAGACTTTTTCATATTCACCAACTGCCCCTTGTCTCTCTCTCCCTATCTATTAACAATGCGTTATGTTGATCTCTTAAAAGTTTTACTAATTTATTCGAATCAATTTTCTTGTTTGAGTCCGGGCAGCAGCGTTAAATTTTTTTTTCTTAAAAAAACAAAAAAAAAACAGTGTTACAAAAACAGTTACCCCCAATTACACAACATAATTAAAATGTTAGAACTTAAAAATCCTTATACAAAGTCCTATCTATCTCCGTTTTGTTTTTTTCCTCGCCAACATTTTTCAATGATAACCTTAATGATTTGTTTTTGTTTTATTGTATGTTTGGGGGCTGGATTGGTTCCATTCAGCCAATAATGCGATATTGTATTTGCATCACCATGTTTTACCTGTTCAGTGACAGTAAAGGGCGGATTTTTTTTGTGCACAAAACAACTATTTAGCATTTCGCCGCTTGCAATGATGAAATGTTAAATTTAGCAATGTTAAAAGATGATAAACGATAGACGATAGATGGATGATGCCTACTAATAATAATTAAGCCAGATCTAGTTGGATCTTTGATGTTATCAAGAAATGGTTTAATAATCTTGATATCGGATAATGGAATACTTGTTTTAATTTAAAATGTTAGTGTCATTGTGTGTTTGTTTATGTGTGATCGTCCGATAAGGACTCTTACCTGCTCAAACGCCCAACGTCAATGAATCCCCCGTCAGAACGGTCTAACAAGAATAAATTTTAGTAAAAACATGTTGAAAATAGAGAATAAATGATTGGTGATATTAGAAATTTTTACGAGTAATCGCCTTTTTTTCAGATCGTACATGGTCAAAATCCATAAAAATAATTTCTTCGTCTTCACCAGTTGATATTCTTATTAGAGACCATCATCTACATCCTTTTTATCCAATCAAACCAACCGAATCAATTAATACAAATATTAAAAATATTGTAAAATTACATGATAAAAATATCGAGTTTTTCTTTAAGGACTAATGTTTCAGATGAAAAAAAGCTCATATATTTCGTCGTCGCTTTGTAGCAGTACTAGATTTGTAGCAATAACAGAAGTCGTGGCAGTATTAGACCATTAATTTAATTGTGCAATCAGTAAAATGTCTTTACAATTCAATCACATTTTTGGTGATGGGTTATAATATCTTTAAAAGTTCAGTTTTGGTGTCTTTGTACAGTTGTTTTATATGAGATTTTTTATAAAAAATCAAATTTCCGTTATAAATTAATAACAACATGCAAAAAAGAAAAAGAAAAATTAATTGACGTAAAACTTATATAATATAGTGTAAAACAATGCCGTGACCCTAAACTCTCAACAGTTTTGGAAGAGAACCTACTCTAAGCCTAAACACAAACTCGAACCTCTTGGTTGAGATGTCTGGAAGAAATGTAGGTATAGAGGGTGGAAAAAGTGCCATACGGCCCATTCGGCAAAAAAATGCATACACTGGGGGTGTTGTAGCATAAATAAACCAGGCGAGTAGCGATAAGAACGATTCAGTAGGGCAGTCATCGTTACACGATCAAAATGTTTTATTGGTGATCTGTTGTTTTTACTTCCAAATTTGAAAACGATTTTTTTAAATATATAAAAATTTCAAAAAAGAAAAACAAAGAAAACGAAATAGTTTCTACTAATAACGATGAAGAGTTCATCCGGTTTGAAAAATAATAATGACGAACAACAACAACGGCAAAGTATTTACCCGGTTCAAAGGACAGATTCTTCTACTAATAATGACAAACAATAACAACAAAAGTATTTATCAAAGAGTAACTCACACCGGCAGATTTGGTTTTTGGTCCTTTTTTTTCAAACCTCTATATTAATTAATATCACATATATATCTTATTGTGTAACTGATCAGTAGAATGATAATTAACCCTAAAAAGTTTATTTGCTCCGTCAAAAAAATATTTTAATATTCAGCAGCCCGTCAAGTCAATGGGCCACCTCAAAACAAATGGGGTTTTGCTAATATGTATAATGTATTCATAAAGTTACAACAGTAAATAAGCGCTTATATTCACTATATAAAACATAACTAACGTAAAATAAACATAATTTTATTAAGTCAAGCGTTTAAAACGATCTATAATGGCAAGACAACCACATTCTCTAATTCAACGTCAATATCTGTGTGACAAAAAGCGATACAAAAAATCTAGAGGTTTTATTCGTCATGAAAACTCATGCATTTTACAATTAACTTACTGTTAATATAATTTCTTTGCCTATGCAATATATTGAACAGTTTAAAAAATTACTAGTAATGAGATACATAAAACGAATTCCTCCCTATTACATACCAAACCAGGCAAAAACTTATCAAATTTCCATGTACTAATAGTGAATCTCATGTTACAATAGTACCGCTAGAGATGACTGTAGAATGGTTTCAAGAAAATATTAAAGATGCAAAATGGCATGAAACATCAGATGGACAATTAAGAATTGGATTTCGTTTAGATTAAGAATATTATATTATATATAAAGAAATTCTTGCTATTTGATTCTTGATTATTATAATGCATTTATTTTCAATTTTCTACAAATAATTTAATATTGAGTGAATACGATTTTTTAGTGAAATGTTATCCTTCAGAATTTGCTTCATAATAGAGTCTTTTGGTTGACATGATATTATGCTTCAGATGGAGATTTGTTTGATTGTAATTCTTTTTCTTGGTAAACATTTTTATCAATCCATTGAATTTTATAAGTCAATAGATGAAATCATGTAATTTCTTTTTTTGCTCTTTCCCGAGTGGTTTTTACTTTATATTCAGTAGGTATTTTATATTCTCAGTTTGTTGTAAGGTTGACAATGGAGGATAAATATTCTCCTGAAACATTATATATGCGTGTTTGCATTTTTAATTTTTTTCACAATATGAAAATTAATTAAATATTAAAGCGTTTCTCTTTGAATTGTTATACGGTAGATTTGTTAAAACTACAAATTCTACAATGATTGATTAATTTGTTAATAACGTATCATCATATTGTACTGAAATTTCGAGGTTCAAACATATGTTCCTCTATTAATAATTCACATCAATATTATCATCAACAACAAAAACGAATTGTTTAACTAGTCCTAGTACTAGGGTGCTTTCCACTAATACTGACGAACAATCAGAATCATCATTTATTTATATTAATTACACACAAAAATCAATAGCGAGTTTTGCTCAAAGCTGTTCCTGATTAAGGTTTCTGGTCCAAACTATTTTCGAAAAAAAAAGTAGTTTTGGAAATAGTCTGGGCTTCTCAACATTTTTTATAGGAATGAACATATAAATCAACTAGAGGTTGGCACCGCGCAAAAATCTTTAACCGGTTAATTTAGTCACGTGGAATTTTTTAACTGGTAGTGAGCAAGCAAGCAAGGCTAGGACTAACGTTGGTTAACTAGTGACGATTAATAACGTAATTTACTTTAGTGAGTAAGCAAAGGTTAGGGTTAACTGGTGAGTGTCAATGAAGCATCATCCAAAGGTTAATTGGAAATACTGGTAATATTATTGTAATCGTGAATGTAAGGTTGTTAAACAAGCTACTTAAGTTGTTTTGCAAGTAAACCAAAACGAGTTTGCAATCGGCTAATAAATGTAAACGAATAAATCAATCACAAATGAATAAAAGGAACTTTATAGAAGCCTTTGAGCTTTGTAAAGGCCATCATTATCGATTTACAGTTATTTAGTATGCTCATAGATTCGTCTAGGTGCAAGAAAGAGGGATCCAATGTAAATTTGTAAACTAATTAATTGACAAGCACTGAATTATTGTGAGTTGCTTGCAATTAACTGACAAAAGTAGTCCAAATACTTGTTAAATAATTGGTATTAACCAAAACGATACCTCGTAATATTACTATTTAATATTAACAAGAATAAAAAACTGTAGAAAATTTATTATTTCAAAATAATTTAGCTTTAAGAAATAAAATAAAAATAAAATAAAAAGATAAATAATTTTATAGTGGAGATTAAATTAGTCATTCATCGGTTCTTTCTTTTAATTATTAGAATCTAATGCAATCAATCAAATGTAAAATAAAAATATTGTTGGTAATAAGTAATGAATAATAATTTCGATTAATTAATTAATAATGAAATTTTTATTCACCGTCAACATTTTAGAGAAAAGAGCTAAAACCAAGACTATTTAACGAACTATCATTACTTGTATGAATTTTCAAGCTTTTAGATTTAGCAATCTCTTTATCTAAGATTCTACTTTTATGATATGCATCTGGATGTGGTTTGTGTACTTGTTGCGAATCACTATTACCACCACTACTATTATTTTTCAAACTTTCATTTTTAAAATTTTCATCTAGTTTATTATCAGCGAAATCATAAAGCTCACTACTAGTTGGTCTTTTTGATGGGTCCACATCCCAACATCTCTGCATCATTTGCACATAATCATCAGGCATTCCAGGCAATATTGGTGGTCGTAAACCTTTTGCACATATATCAAAAATCAAACGATGATTGTGAGCTCTATTGTCAAATGGTGGGTGACCTGCAAATATTTCCCACATTAACATCCCAACACTATAGATATCTGATTCTTTGGTGTTCTTTGTATTAATTTTGCCTCTAAGTAATTCGGGTGCAACATATGATAAAATTCCATAGACTTTATTTGATGAGTTTTCATCAACTGGCCCACATAATCCAAAATCTGTAATAAAACAATTACCTCCACTTATTAATATATTACCACTATGTAAATCACAATGGATTAAATTTTTCAGATGTATATCATCTAATGCATCACATAAATAAGAAAATATTGTAATTCTGTCTTTTAATGTTAAATGACTTTTTTGTAAATAATCCCTTAAATTTCCATCTGGAGCATAAGGTAAAACAAATGCATAATTTCCATTATCTGGGAATTTAGTTATACCATAGCACTGAACAATCAACCCTGATTTGATTTTACAATAATTCATTGCCTGAAAATAAACAAAATCAATTAATATTATATAATACAGTATTGTTTAAATGACAACTACTGACCTCATCAAAAAAAGCTTTTCCTGGATTACTTGAATTATTTAAACTTTTTAATACTACTTTCATCCTTCCTAAATAACTAAATTCCTTTTCATTTTCGTCATAATCAATAATACTTCCTCTTGTCCATGTAGCAGTATAAATTGAACTAAATCCGCCTTCAATTAACTTTGTTATATTATAAAATTGCTCAAAAGGTATCCATTCTAAAATATATCTTGGCAGAGATGATTTCATTTGACATTGTTGAATAAAATCATCAACTATGTTATTTCCAGACATCCAAGTGGTGAAAAGACTCTGTAATTGTAAACTAATACAACCTTCACAGAACCTATCAGAGTATCTTGTCAATTTA